GGGTTGACCTGCTGGAGAGCAGCTCTGCAGAGAAGGAGCTGGTAGTGCTGGCAGACAGCAAGCTGACCATGAGGATGGTGTCCTGGGGTGCATTAAGAAGAGTGTGGCCAGCAGGTCAAGGGAAGTTCTCCTCCCCTCTCTACTCTGCCCTGGTGAGGCCACATCTGGAATGCTGGGTCCAGTTCTGGGCCTCCGAGTTCAAGTGACACAGGGAACTACTGGAGAGAGTCCAGAGCAGGGCTACGAAGGTGAGGAGGGGACTGAGGCATCTCTCCAATGAGGAAAGGCTGAGAGACCTGGGGCTCTTTAGCCTGGAGAAGAGAAGACTGAGAGGGGACCTTATTAATGCTTATAAATATCTAATAGGACGGTGTCAAGAGGATGGGGCCAGGCTCTTTTCAGTGGTGCCCAGGGACAGGACAAGGGGCAACGGGCACAAACTGGAGCACGGGAAGTTCCGCCTGAACATGAGTAAAAACTTCTTTCCTTTGAGAGTGACAGAGCACTGGCACAGGCTGCCCAGGGAGGTTGTGGAATCTCCTTCTCAGCAGATAATCAAAACTCGCCTGAATGCAGTTCTGTGCAACCTGCTGTAGGTGGTCCTGCTTTAGCGGGGATGTTGGACTAGATGATCTCCAGGTGTCCCATCCAACCCCTACCATTCTGTGATTCTGTGATATAAAGCACATTAAAAATAAGTATTTCTCTCAGTGCTGAGTGGGAAACAAATGCTTCCTCCGCTTCTGGTCAGCGTGCAGATCACAAAAGTGCTGCGAGATGGTGGCATTTTCTCCTGACATCAAGGGAAGTCCACTGCCAGTAACTCATTATACATGCATTGCCTCGGTCATGCACCTTCTGCCTGTCACTATAGCAACCTCCTCGAAAATTACCTCAGCAGTTACTAACATTCATTTTTACAAAACTAATTATGGGTATAATTAACTTTTTAAACTTGGTCTGTACTATAAATTTACTCAGACCTATGTGGTTTGGCTTGTTTTGGTTCCCCCAAGTAATTTTACACAATTCTACCTTTTTTGTTCCTTTGTATACTGCCTAGCTGCGTAGATACTGTTTGGATGAGAGACCATGTAACTACAGCGTGTCTCATCAAAGTAAGACATTTCTTAGCAGGTAGTAAAAATATACACAGAGTGTCATATTGTTGAGACGTAAATGGCTTGCACAGTTGCTGCCACTTGCACAACTGAATTCCCCATGATAATGTTGGTGGTTACCTGCCTCAGCACAGCTGCCAGCATTTTTCCTACATTCATGTTGTTATTATGATTTTAAATTTTGAAGTTAATAAATTGAGAAAGCATCTGGTTTGGGCAATTACTGGCAACACTTTTTTTGGAAGTTCGTGTTTATGACAAGTTGTAGTTTGTTTGTAAAAGTGCATGTGTAGTCGTTTCTAGTATACGCTGAAGATTTAGTTGCATTGCGAAGGCTAATTGCAGTATTTGTGCATACATTTTGAATTAGGCACTTATCCTAAAATAACCCTGTGCGTATTTCTTACATGCTTAAGTGTTTTGTATGTGCACAGGTTTTGTTTGCCCAGGTGAGCAATATATTTTTCAGTACTTTATTTAGTGTTGCGTTAGATAAGGGCTTTAAAGTCATGATGAATCTTTTTGTAAATAATCAGATATACAAAAAAGTCAATAAAATTCTACGTTTTCTTTCACTCCTCACCTATCTGAATTCAGAGACTCGAGACATTTCACATAGCCCTGGCTTCATAAGTCCTCTTCTGGTTGCAGATAAAGCAGTGGAGGAAGCAACTCCACCCTGCTTTCCTGCTGGAGCTTATGGACTTCCCACGCCCCAGGCTGTATCCGTCAAATAAACTAGCTTAATTTGAACAATTTCAACAGTATTTCTTCGTATTCCAAATCATTTTGAGAGAAATGTGTTATCAAGCCATTGCACAAGTGAAAAAGCTGGCTGCTGGGGATGGTCAGAGGTACAGCTAGAGTGAGGCTTGAGCTAGCACAGTTGAAGGTAAATTTGAATGTTTTTACTTAAAGTTGCTGCTTGCTAAATTAATTTTAAAATAAATAAGTGATTAGTTTAATAAGCTGTATGATGCTTAAAGAGCCTATGCATGCAGTGCTGTATTCCTCTGCAATCAGAGAATTTCTTTAAACTCCAGCTTTCATGTGGGGAAGAAAAAAATTTCCAGGACTTTCGGTATGAGGAAGATTTGAAAATAGACGTCTTTATTGTGGCAGTGAATTAAAACCACTTAACATAAATTCTACATTTCAATGTTACAGGATCAGCTATAATAATAATATGTGAAAATTGTGTGTACAGGTAGTATGTCTTTAAATATTAATAGTGTTCCAGTTGTCTTTTTTTCCTATGCAGAGAGTCAACTATTCATTTACATATTCCCTCTCAGCATTTTGAAATAGTGAGTAAGCCCAACAAGTCAGTTATTCAGAAAAATCAGACTGTAAGCCCACCCCTCCTAATGCAGTGCAAAAGTCTATTCTTGTGCATTGCGAAGAGAAATTGTCTTGGTTTTTGTCTGTGTAGTAGTGTGGACATAGAGGTATAATGTTATGCAATTAATACAAAAGTCATGGTAATGTATTGAGTGTGTTGCTCCCACTGGCATTTCAGGGAGATTGCATCCATTTGAAGACAATTCATTTCTGCAATATATCAGAAATCTTCAGATGTGATATAAAGCAGTGAGTAATGGGAAAGAAGACCTGGTGTCAATCCAAGTGATCCATGTTCTTACTCACAGATACTAGTTTTTTTTTAGTTACTGTGTTACTTTGGTTTAGAGGTTTCATGAATTTTGAGAGAGACTTGAGGAGTTTTTAGCGATTTTAGAGTATCTTGAAGGGAACTTTGTTGCTGCTGCAGGCATAGCTTTCAGTTTGATTTTCAGAAACATGATTAATCTCCTTGAAGTTGATAGCAGGATGTGAAGTGACATATGCTCATGTGGTAACAGGAAGTGTAACTGATCTGCAGAACTGTTAAAGTCAATGCACAGACTTCACTAAAATCTGAATTCCAGTGTAAGTAATTCTTCAGCAGAAATGTCTGTTTAAAAAAAAAAAAAATCAACCACAAATCAGAAGATTTTTTTTCTACTTTAAAAGAATTTCATTGACTACTTGCTGTATGCTCACAGCATGAAAAGAGCAATAATAATAGGTTTAAAAGAAAGGTTGTGCAACAAAGAACTGAGACATTTTCATTTAAATAAATGGATACAATGATATGTTTGTTTATTAAATTTTAAGTTAGAAAGAAAAGTGGTAGGCGCTAAATATCGTTATTCAAAACCAAAAGATGTGGGGTGTGTTCTAAATTGCTTTTGTTGGACTGTAGGTTCTGGTTATGATTTGTCAATATCACAAAGATTTTCTTTTTAAGGCATTTTGTGCATGCTATCTGGTTTGTTGTTTTTTGTTTGGTTGTTTTTTTTCTGTGAGATACTCTTACTTTTTTGTCACTGCTTCCTTGATTCTGGGTTTGAATATGTAATTTAGGACCCTTCTTAGAGAGCCCAGCATCCTTTGATGTGTTAAGTGAAGAAATCTAGGGAATGAAATAGGACTCCATAAGGACTCTTCCATGAACTGTATAGGTTGTGTAAGGTCCTACAGGTGAAATGGCTGAGAAGCCTAACAAATTAATTCTGTGTCTTTGCTGTGTGGTAGAAATCAAACTGCTTTGTTTCTGTCATTTTTCAGGACAACTTGCTCTTGCTATTGCATTAAGAAATCATTCAGAGCATCTAGAAGAAGTCTAATTATTTCTTATGTGGGTTTGTTTAAAAAGAGCACCTTCACTAGTAACTGCAAGGAAAAAAACATTCAGAGCTTAGTGATACTTCGTCATCATTTGATAAATTACAAGACTGTTGCTCTCCTCCCCTACAATGAATGAGGGCATCCATAGGTTAATTTATCTTGTCAGTGGCTAATTCTACGCCATTCTTGTGCTGGGAAGTAATCAAATTCCCAAGAACTTCATTTCCTGCAGCATTCTTTCTCCCAGATGTCTGCCATGGGGAGAGCCCAAGCTGCCTGATGCACTGATTTCATGAGATGTCCAGCTTGTGGACCCAAACAGGCTATCACACACATACAGGGCTTTTCTGAGCATCTCTTTTATGAGAGTTAATTAAAACCTCCAGTACACTGGTGCTTTATGATTGAAACCCACCATTAAGCAATAGCAGAAGAGTTTTCTGTTGTAGTCAGTGAACCTTTACAAGAAATTTTATAGGAGTTTCAGATTATTTGCCATCCAACTGGGGTATATTTCGTATACCTCAGGTTTCTTAATTTAATAAGAAGTTTCAGTCTGAATGCAGGACCCTCAGGTGCCAGAGATCCCACTAAATAATCAGTGCTGCCTTCTGTTAACAAGATCGGGAGAGTGTTTCGTCAGTGGGTGGGTTTTTCTTTTTTCTTTTTTTGTTTAATCTCCAAACAGTACCATTTATCCTCCTATCATGTTAAAAACTGTAATGATCTATTCTATAGCAGTTCGCTGGTTCTTGGGAGCTTTATGTTTGTCTATTCATGTATCTGTGTGGACACCACAGAAGGAATATCAAGCAATATGTTACATATTAAAATAAAACTTTGCAACTTTATATTTCTCACACATTTTAGAATGTTATTTGTCTCTAAATTGCCTACAATTATGTAATTGAAAACTTTGAATCTTTGGTGAATTTACATGTGGAAGCCAAGCAAACTTGTATGAGACTGCCCAGAATAATTATGCCACTCTTCTGTAGAATTTACCTGAAGCTAGGAAAGTGTACAGGAAGGGAGGATGGAGCACATTTTTATACTTTGTCCCCTCTTCTATGCCGATAATGCTGTTTTTTCTGTTGTACTTCTTCCTACCCCACAGCCCATTTCCATTCCCAAATCTTCCTTTCTGTTTTCCTCAGTGGGATGATGGTGTCACTGTCTTGCATTCCTGTTGTTTCTCCCTGTCTATAGCTATCTTAACGACTTGGACCGCATAGCAGATTCCACCTATCTGCCCACTCAGCAAGATGTGCTCAGAGTTCGAGTCCCAACAACAGGGATCATTGAATATCCATTCGACTTACAAAGCGTCATTTTCAGGTAGAAAAAAAAGTTTTAACACCTACTTGCTTTGTTTCTTTTGTTTCCTATTACATTACTAGTACCATGCGTAGGATATTAGTTAAAAGTGCATAAAAAGCAATTATTCTATGTTTTTAAAATTTCAGCTTGGTCATTGTATCTTCATTAAATTGTCCACGTATAATAAGGAGCTAATGTTAAAGATATAAAAAGGATGAAATACAATTAGGTTTATCTTTTTCTGAAGGTAGTTATTACTGATAGAAAACCTGAAATTCATCTTTTCAATAATATGTATCAGAGTTTCTCCATGAATAATAATCTGAAAATACAGTCATGTGTCCTTGTAATTCATGTAAATTGTGTAGTTTATTTTTAGAGAGAAATGACTCTCCTTTAGAGAGAAATCCCTTTACTTGAGTGCAAGTACAGTTGTTTAAAAAATAACTATGGAATTGCAGTTGCAAGTTAGACACCTGTGCTTAGTTACACTGAGACATGGGGTGAAGTGGGAGTATACTGCGTGCAAATTTGAGTTCTAATTTTGGCTATTAAAAATTTTGGTAGATACATACTGTATTCTATTTGCTCTCTAAAAATGGGGAAGCTTTAACAAGTTGGGAATTTTGACTCTGGTAATTTGGGGGGAAAAGGCAGACCACCAAGTCTGTTCTGTTCACATCTGTTTCTGCTAAATACACAGGGCATACATTGCCAAATCATGGCTTATGAAACCTTTGTATCTCAGTAATCTGAGGGCTTTGAGACCCACAGTAATTTAAATACAGAAAACTCATCAGACTTAACAGCAAATATAATTAACTGTCTACTTAGAACAGATTCCATTAAATATCAATGGAAAAAGTCATTAGGAAAAACAAATCAAACTGTGTTCTCAACTGAATTCTAGAATTTTGTCATTGTGTGTGTATTTGTGTGTTTATCTGTTAAGGTATTCATGGAGTTGATGTGGATGTTAATTTTGCAGAATGGTGGATGTAGGAGGCCAACGATCAGAAAGAAGAAAATGGATACATTGCTTTGAAAACGTCACATCTATCATGTTCCTAGTAGCTCTTAGTGAATATGATCAAGTGCTTGTGGAATCAGACAATGAGGTAAGCAAGCATCAGCAAAAAGCACCATTTTCAAAGAAAAAATAACTTAATTTGTCCAGTCCCATGTGGCTTCCAAATGCATCTACCAGCAGTCATACACAACTGCACCCAGTGGAGTGAGAAGCACTATAGGGATCAAGAGGGGAGGAGGGGATTAATCTCCAAATATGGTAACGCTGATCGCCGCATGAAGGATTCAAAGAAATTTACCTGTTTTGCATGGAAGGGGAATACAGTTGAACATAGAGAGGTGTTCTTAGTGTAGCTGCTTGTGCAGTTAGTGTTACGTAGTAGAGCCACAAAAATAGGTAGTGGAAGTGAAGCCAAATTTATAGATTCAGACCCTAAAGTAGTACACTTCATTCCTTTGAATTAAAGCATAGGATGTATATTGTGCTCGTTTCAAAAAATAACGGAAGTAAGAAAGTGGATGAGCTGAGGGGGCAAAGCACACTCGTATCCAGTATTTTGAATGCAGTTTTAGAGAATAGGGAGGTTATTTAATGTTTAGATTTTTTTTGTCTTTCCTGAGGACTATTTTAAGTTACTCATAAAACTTTTATGAGTTACTCACTGACACTGTCCTGTGCAAGTCTTTTAACACATACTTAACAAGAGTTACGTGAAAAAAAGAAAACATTTTAATGTTCTTCATGGCTGTATACATGTTGATTTCACTGTTCAAGAGAATAGTTGACACAGGAAGGTAAAACTGGTATCCATGGACGTTGATGTTTGTATACTGAATTTTCTTCAGGGTCCATTTTTACTGTAGTCTAGGAGCTCTGAAAGCTGTCACATTTATAGTGTTTCCATAAAAGAAAAATATCATTACGTTAGTTATATCATCAACTATATAGTTCAAAGCTGAATTTACAAAAATTATGATGTAATCTGTACCAACTTCATCTCTGTAATTTTGGAAGCTAGACACAGGTAGATAAAAAGAGACCTCAGCCAGACTTTACTTGTTTCAAGCCAAGCCAGGAATGTCTGGTTCTGTCTTTTTCTGTTTGCATTGTTCTTTTGTAGCCACAAAGTCAACACAGAAGTATTAAGCATTTTAATTATGTAAGTCAAAGCAAAATATATTGGAAATCACATTAAGACAAATTAGTTACGATAATTTTCAAATACTATTCTAACTATCCAAAATAAATTTCTAGACTTCTGATGTTAGCTGTTTATCACTGTGTTTTCATACTGTCTTTCTCATAGGGCAAGGTTCTCATAGGAACTGTCACAGGGAGAGGTTTACCACATGCTGGTTCCCCATTAAGTGTAGTTAGGCAGCTTGCTCAGACCCTTGCTGTGCTTTGACAGGTAACAGTGTGTGGATCATGACTTAGAGCATCACTACTGTAGGAGACAGAGTAGTATCTTCCTAGGCTGCATCATTTGAAGTATATAGTCTTGTTCTGTGTTCTCGTAAGCTGAAAAGGTTCAGGTGTTGTGAACTGAATAGAACATCTGACTGAAGATTTCCTTTGTGTTTTGGGCTGTCCAGTGACTGAAGTGATGCCTAAAATTGTGATAGCTTTTTCTATAACTACCTTTCAACTATGATGAAAAAGATAGCTTTACTCATATGACTGTTTTGATTTTTCAAGTTTTCACTTTTGAAACAGTTTGTGGAGGCAAAAGCTGTAAAACTCCTCATTGTCTTGGAGATGGTTCTTCCACCTTACTGCTAAACTATTTATGTTTCTTATGAACAACAGTGGAAAACTTCTGAATCTTTTTGTGTTTCAGTTTACAAGTTCATAACTTTAAGTCAAAACGTTTTTTCTTTTCAAGTCATACATACATACCCTAGTAGCGCTTTCTGGCAGCATTAGATCTGTGTTACTTTAGCTCTGGGATGGATCCAGACTGTCCTAGAGCTAAACACCCATCTGGGAAGCTTAGTATTGGCTTTCTGTAAGCTGTGACCTGTCTGTCTAAATTTGTTGGTATACCAGGGTGTGCTTCCCTTCCTTTTCCCTCCCCTGTATCTCTGAACAGGGCAGTCGCAGAACGCACGAGAGAAGAATGGGTTTATTTGTTCCACATAAAACAAAGCGTAGTTTGTTAGAATGTGAGTGTGGCAGAAATATGGGGAAAGGTTTGAAATGTGTTAGTTGACACCTTGAATTAAGAAATTTATCCCCTAAATTTTTTTTGTTCTTCACTGGGGTATGACAAGCTCAGTAGAGAAGACAGTAATTTAACTTGGAGACTTCGGTAATCAGCCAAGAGATCTTTTCGCACTTACCTTTAAAGTGTGAAACAGTACTAAAATTTTAGCAACAGAGTGAGAGAGTGTGTGTAAGTGCCCTACTTTCTTCATATGTATGCCATCAGTGTGATACTATGATAGAATCTAATGCTTCTTTGATCTGTGTGCCTCTTACTGAAATTAAAGATCTGACTCGACAACTTGTAGTGTTCTGCTGCTCCCTTTGCATTGCTTTCATGGCCTGATTAAAGAGTATGATTTTTGTAAGATGGCCTACTTTCTTTTTGTAATTAGTCCACTGCATGTTACTGCCTGAAGTCTTTGTCTTCGTAGTATGTTTTTACAAAGAAAACTATACTTTTTAATCATATGTGGCATTCTTCTTAGTAAATACATTTTTTCATTAATCTCATTTTCATGAGTAAACAAATCTGTAAGAGTTATTATTTGCCATTCAGTGCTTGTGTGTTTATATGACCCTTCATCATTATGAGACTGGTTTAGAGCACTTAAGACTCTTGATTTGTATTTCAAAATGTGATGCCTGGTAGACTCTCAATTGTAAATCCATTTCTTCCCTTGTTTAGCTTATTCAAGAAAAATACATTTGGATTATAAATCAGATGAGGCTATACTGAGTTGAGAGGCTTTGCTAGTGTCTCTCAAGGACTTTTCTCACTGGATTTATGCAGGATTGAGCTGGGAACTGTTTCTGTCCTCATGCCCTTAGAGGAGTTAAATGTTAAAAGTTCTGAGGAATATATTATAGCTACTCTGTAAGGGGACATCATACATAGAAAATAAGAAAAGTATTCAGACTGCCTGTTATTGAGAGTCTCGTGTATGATTGTTCCTAAATGATACATCCATAAAATTGCACTCCCATGACAGAGATCTGCGGCTAAAGAGGTGGGGGCTTTGGTCCTGAAGAAAAGCACGTGTCGCTGCCCAGCTGTGTTCTAACTATGATTCCTCTAACAGATGATACTCAGAAACAATGTAATTTCTCCTAAGTCTAGATTGTGTCTAGATGCACATAACTAAGCATCTGATTTTGGTGCATAAATACAAAATGAGAAGAATTGGCCAGGACAGTGTATATAAACATATCTTTCTAAAATTTCAGATAATGTACAGTTTTAAAATGTCTTTCTCTTCTTAAATACATGTAAAAGGAGAGATTGCTAACTGTTCCACATTCTGGCCTTAATAAAACACTAAGACTGTCAAGATTCGTTGGTGGAAATGAGGACAAAATTTGATCCAGAGGACATAATATACTAATCACATTAATAGTACTGTAAATTAAGAAAACCGTCCCTCAGTCTGATATGATGTGATGAAGGGGAACATGTTATAAGTTAAATTATCAGATATTTGACCTTTTCACTTTTTCAGAAAAGTCAGACAGAATTAGAAGTGAAATAAAAAGTGAAGAAAACGTATCTGTGGTAAATTAATTTATGATGCATTATGTCGTCTAGGTCAGGCTTTTGCTCTGAATTATAGCGGCAGATCTGGAGAAATTTGCAGTTTTATCAAAAAGCACAGTTTAGAACTTTTCAATTTTTAAAGTCAATTTGTTTTCTTAAATAAAGCATTTTTTTGTAGATAAAATATGTTAGTCCATATTCTAGGATATGCTGCATTTAAATATGTATCACAGGTAGTTCTTCTAAACATATAAAATCTCATGGTCTCAGTGCAATAAATGCAAAAATGAGTTCCAGCTTTATAAGAGAACCGGTAACCACCTGCAGTTATGGAAGGACTAGAGACATCACAGTATACCCGTAAAACCTGGCTTGATAAAAAAGAAGTTTTCATTAACTTTGCAGAGCTTGTTAAGTACTTGGAAGCTGCAAAATAAAGGACTGCATTTATTGATGTTTGTACATATTTTTCTTCCACATTAGTGTGCTGAAAGTCTTAAGATGTGTATGATTTCATATAGTTTGTATAGGTCTTTGGTGGTTATGAAAATGTGGGCTTTTTGTAAGTAGAGATATTTCTCTTCCTGTGTTCCCACAGGAAAAGCAGAAAAGACAGGATACAATTTCCTCAGTTCAGCTAAATTAATGGATTAATAGGCTAAGTGAAATTCTGAAACTTTTTAAACTATCGAAAAACAAATACTGTCTTTCCTGAGGTATCATCAGAGGCTACAAAGCTACAGAGGCATTGGGCAGAATGAAGTACTTGTTGATAAAAGATAATTTTTAGAAGTAAATCAGTATGAGTATTCTGAACATTCATTGCACAAAATAAATGGGGGGGGAATGACAGTTTAGATTATTTTGGCAAGAGGTGATACATTGTGATTTTTAAAAAAAAGAAATACAATTGTAACATGACATTTTAACAGGATTGGAGATAATTGTTGCTAATATTTACAACTAATATTCCTTCCAGTTTGACTTTTGAGTAAGGACTTTCAATAATGCCCAGTATTATAAAACATACTATGTATCCTGTATATGTACAAATACCTTATATATGCATCTCTGTGCCTTAAAGAAACAATTTTTTAAAATTTTTTTACTTGTTAAGCAATTTCTTTTTGTGGATGAATGAAACCACATATAAAAGAATCATAAATTGTCTCTTCCTTTGTTAAAATAGTAACATTAATATAGCTTTAAAAACTTGTATTTCACAGGTGGTTTCTTTGCAGGGTTTTCACTGGCCTTGAATAACAAAACAAATAGAACCAATTTTACTGTTAAGGTCTGATTCATTTATATATCCTGTCCAGACAGGTAATTTGCAACCCTTTTAAGAG